TCTTTTACATTTTGCTCACTATTATTTATTTGTTTTAATAGATAAACTATATCGTTCTATTAGATTTATGATGAGTGATTTTTGTGAATTAAATTCATGTGTGTCGTCTATAAATCTAGCTTAGCAGTATAAAGTTCTATATTATTCTTTAAAAACTTATGGAGTTTTAAAAGATATAGCGATTATCAAAGGGCTTGCATATGGGTAATTTTATAGTGAAGGATGTTTGCGCAATTCAAGTTTTTATTCTTGAAAAAGAATATATCTCATTAATTTATTTTCAAAATTAACATTACAACATAAGATCAAGTATAGGGTTTTATGTTAGGGAATCAAGTTGTGTATGATATTATACACATATTTTCATAAAGAATATTAGCTATATTAAATTTAAAAAAAGTTTATTTTTCATAAAGAATATTAGCTATATTAAATTTAAAAAAAGTTTATATTTCTTTGTTTAGAATCTCTTTTATTAGAAGAAAAGGAAAAAATTCTTAAAGAAGAATATAAAGAGTATTTTATATTATATATAATATTTTTATTATTGTAATGATATTATTTATCTAGGAGTTTTGCAAATTATAAGTGGTTACTAGAGACAGAATGTAGGAAAATGGTGTACAAATATTCTAATTAAAATTTATTATTATCTCGATGAAATCTAACCGACTTTAGTAGACTTTAATCTATATAATTTTAATATGCTCTATTCTATGGGACCAAACTTTAAATTCTAGACTAATATTTCAAGCAAACATAAACTCTTATTTTGAACCAATACGAGGTTCTTTGTGAAAATTCAAGTTGATTTATATGACTTCAAATTAACGCGCAATCGACACTAAAACTTATTTATTCTATATATTTTATGTAAGAGACTCTCATTAATTGAATAATTAATTGAAATTTATTTATTTGAACAAATAATAATTATGCCCATGTGCAACGCACATGCACTATACTAGTATATTATAAAAGTATACCCTTTGTTAAAAAAAATTTCTCATAAAAATGTCTTCAATAATGATCTGAATTGACATTTATTAAAAAGCCAAATGTAGAAAGCTCAATAGGCGCTAATATTGGCTTAAAGACATCCCTTTTATTAGAAAGAAAGCTTTATAGTAACAATAAGAAATATAAGATTCTCTCATTCTCTTTTATCTTCACGGTCAACAAACTTGGATAGTTAATAACAAGAGCTTTCACATATACGTGGTTGTGAGCTAATTGGTACTCAACTACTCATCTTTGTTATTTACCTGTCAGTTAAATCTTTCAGAGGTCAGGTTAGAATGCAGATTCTATCCAAATACCCCCATAAAATAGGATGATCCATACCATTCAAGGATGGCTGGGGGGTTAATTTGGAAGTAACATATTCTATTTCTAATAATGCAAACCACCTCATTCATAGGGGGGGGTTGGGGGGGGGGGGGGTGCCAAAGGATCATGATTCGGCACATTGGGCTGTCAAAATTACAAGACAGGTATGCTATCACTTTTATTGACCACTCCTTTTATCTAATGCACCATTTCATTTTATCTTATCAATTAAAATACGTTTAACTGATAAATTGAAGCAAATAATTAATCAAGTTCATGTCTAATAATATGCATAACAGTGTTATATTTTTGTCTTATTAAGAAAGTTCAATGCATCAGTTCAAAGCATGTAAAACTTATTTTCAAAATGCATTTCTTTTTATAGATACAATTATAGAAAATTGGTACATTGCAAGCCTTCAATTGATAAATTGGCTCTATATAACAATATTTTATTTGCTTGAGCTATTACTGGCTGCAATATTATTCACAAGGATGAAGCTTGCTTCTATCTTGAAGCTTAGCATCTCTTTTTTCAGTGGTCACAAATCTTTACCATCAGTCTATGGGGATCCATCAGTCTATGGGGATGAGGAAATTGTTACTTTAGTATTTATCAAATAACTGTAATCACTGACACAAGTAGGCATTTTCATTGCTAAATTATCCTGTAAATTAGTTTTTATTTTCGTTTGGTGAAACAATTAGTTTGTGTGTCCAGGATTATAGGGATAGCAAGAATTTTCAAATTGTTTTTACCAAGTTGTGTTTCTGGCATGTTACTCTATGAACCAAATATATTTCGGCATAGTAAAGTGTGTTATAGTGCTTCCTAAATTTCTTTTACTAACAATACTGAGATATATCGATAGTATATTATACAACAAATATGTTCACGTGCAACGCACGTGCATTATACTAGTATATATATGCGTGTGTGTAGAAAAAGTGTTCCTAAGGTGACATTTTAGGTTCAGTCTAATATGTCTGTGTGTGCAAGTAAATTGTGTACAAAAACGATAAGGGACAGTATCCTATGTGATCTTCAAAAGAACAAAAGATTTCTAAGCACAGAGGTAAAAAAAACCTTCTCCCTATATGCATCCATGAGGATCTTTTGTTGTCATTTACCACATGCATACATACACAGCACCAAAGCCAGCCCTTCACGTGTGTTCAGAAAGCAAAAGTTTAGATGAAGATCACAAAATAAAACTGTAACACAAGGTCCGAAAGAAAAAGTTTAGATGAAGATCACAAAATAGAACTGAAATACATGGTCTTAAAAAAGAAAAAAACATCAAATTTTCTCATACTTCT